TGCACTTTTTTCATCATCAGGTTCTTTACTCTATTAATGTCACACTTGGGGACCCTATGAAGCAAGATCTACCCACTTTCAACCTTACCAGACCTGTGAGCAGAATACTTGTGGAAAGAGATATTACTTTGTTTGATGTTACTGAAGTTTGGTTAGGCACAACGCATAATGAATATTGACAACAAATCATCATGGAGCATAGACCTTATTGTTCTCATTGTAAGATATTTGGGCACACTCTTGATAAATGTCATAAGCTTCACCCTAATTCGAAATCTAAAGCTCAAGTGAATAAATAAGGTTCTAAAGATATATATATATACCACCTGAAGAGAAAGCTACCACAGGACAGATTTTGGTGTCTGATTCTATTACCCTTGTCATTACTATTACTGCGAGTGATGTGATGCCGACACCTTCAAACCCCATAGAAAACAATACTGATGGACAATTACCTACAAATGATAGTGTTCGGACTGATAATCAGGAGAGTCTCGTAGCTCCACTTCTTCAAAAAGTATCGGGTGAAGAGGCAACTCATACTTCACATATACTAGAATCTATTGTGGGTACTACGGTTGGTATTCCTTCTGCTTCAGCTCTACCCCATCAGACTGATTCTTCGGAACTGATTCTTCGGATGAGGAATGGAATGACAGGTCTATTCTAGGAGGAAGAAGAAGAGTGAAGCCCGACTCCAACTCGGTAACATGTTGGATGATACATTGGTTACTACTGGCAATGGCAATTATCTTACCAACTTATTAGCTTGCTCCTTCTCTAAAACTAGAGGCAGAGGCAAAACCAAATTGGGTCGCTCTCTAGCCACCTGATACTATGTATTTCGGCACTATTGTTCAGCACTGTTAGGCTTTTTATTTTAGTATCTAATGTATTTTCTGTTTTTTCTAGTTTTGAAACTTTTTGTGGTTTATTGTGTGGACAGGGTGTCATGTTTGAGCCCTCCAACACATTGTATCTGTATCTTTTTTTCTATTTAATATATTAGTCTTTTTAGGTTTTCAATATATATATATATATATATACATATATAACTCATATGTCTTCGTCGACCACGCTTTGCTAGAGTTTCGCCTTTATGGAAAACCCTGGTTTCTGCTCCACTACATCCTTTCGTTGATCACGCTCTGCTCATCATTCGTCGTTTTCGTTGATTTCCTTTTGTTTTGCCATTGTCGCCGTGCGCCATCTTCAGTCATCGTCCCGATAAGGCCTCGCGTTCGTCGGGCTTGGCTTCTGAGGCTTCCTGCATCTTCGACTTCGACAGCTTCTCAGCTGCCACGCCGTAGTCTTACTGGGTGCAATCTCTCCTAGTGCTCGAAGCAGAAGTTTCACATCGACTTTTGTTGTTTTCTACACTGCAATTTCATTGTTCATAACGCCGCGCCTCCTTGTATTGGTGATGGCTTTGGACAAAACGTATGTTGCTGCCCTTGCGGTTGTTCACGCCTCAGGTAATCCTAAATCGTGTTCCCTCCATCGTTTGCGTCAGTGGAGGACATCAAGAAACCTGGAAATAAGAATGGAAAGTCAGCCATCTTTTTTACGGAAGCAAAATGTAATCAACTTGCTTTCTCCTGTCATCTGAATTTGGTCGAGAAATTCCTTCATGACCATCCTAAAATGGAGCTTATTTGTAAAGAATTTGAGCCTATGCACCTTACTGGGGAGTGAAAAATTGAACTTTTAGATGGAAGACACATGTTTATTCAACTAAACAATGAAAATGGTTGTATGCGCTTATTTGCTAGAAGACTGATTTGGATTGATAACAAAGCAATGGAGATTTTGAAATATTCAGTAAATTCACAGACAAAACTGTCAATCATTCTGGTCTCGATTCGCCTCCCTAGACTGAAATTTCATTATTTTACTCAAGAAGTGTTGTACTCTATTGTCTTAGTATTCGGTAAACCTCTCAAAACGAACATTCCTACTTTTAATCTTTCTCATCCCTCTGAAGCAATAGTATTTGTTAAAAGGGATGCCACTTTAATCGCTTCTCAGAAAATTTGATTAGGCACACAACACCATGGATATTGACAAAAGATTGTGATTAAGCTTTTCCCTTCGTATTGCTCGAATTACCGTATGTTAGGCCACTCCTTTTATCAATGTCACCATCTACACCCCCAGCTAAGACCAAAGAAGCAGAGAGCTCAGCCAGAGGCAGTTATTTCCCATCCTCCTGATCTACACCAAGTTATTGACATTATAGATCATCAGAATGATACTCCTGAAGATACCACTATCATCGCGGGTAATATGCCACAAAAAGCTCATGATGTAGGCCCCCCGTTTCCTCTTATGGAACCTCCTTTCGTGGGGGCAGTGGAGGCATTTCATACTTCACTAGCTCTAGAATCTAACTTTGATGTAACGAGTGGCAATATTTCTATTGCATTTATACCGCCTCATCAGATAGAGCAAGTTGTTACTATTAGTCAGACACATGAGGCTCACGATGTGCAACAGCATACACCTGTCCGACAATCTTTAGCCAATCCACTGATCAGAAGAGTCAATCTTCGGATGAGGAATGACAGGTTTATACATCTAAGAAGAAGAAGAAGAATGAAGGTCTACTACCAAACTTGATGAACGATACATTGGTTATTTTGGACAATGACAACAAACTTAACAATTTGTTAATTGGCTTCCGTCCTAGAACCAGAGAGTGACGGCTAAATTGGATCACTAGCAAGCTAACTGAATCTGCGAGTATTGGCAGACTTTTGGTGTACAATTTCTATTTCTATATTTTAATCTTGGTTTTTTGGGTATACATGTATTTTCTATGTGTGTGTTGTATGACGGGTGGTTAGGGTGCCAATTTGGGCTCTTTCATTCAACCTATCTGTACCTTTACTTTTATTAATATATTTGTCATATAATTAGGGAGACCTATGAAATTGGATGCACCCACCTTCAATCTAACCAATCATTCGGTTGCAAGAATTCTTGTTAAAAGAGATATCACCCTCCCTGATATGGACGAAATATGGTTTGGTACAGCCCACAATGGATATTGGCAGCCAATTATAACTGAACAAAGACCATAATACTGCAATCACTGTAAGCTGTTTGGGCATACCCCAGTCAAATGCTTCAGACTTCACCCATATTTGAGATCGGCAGGTCCTAACAACACTATCCATGTGGAGGAAAATACAACAGACACTGTTAATCTTTTAGAAATGTTGAATGAGAATTTAACTCATAAGGCTACTCCTCACCAACCAGACCAGCAGCGTTCGCCTACTATTGTTGATGCAGCTCTTCCTCAGATTACAAATTCTACGAATTGTGTTGTAGCAGATGCTAGCCGAAGTGGCTTGAATCCACCTACTGCGGGAGAAGAGGGTACTCATGTTATGGAGGAGTGTCAGGATCAAGGCGTGTTGCAGGCTAAGTCAGATCAGCAGTTTACTTCCATCGAAGGTCCACCTATTGTTCACACGAGACTTCCTCCGGCAGATGATTGACAGGTTTACAAACCAAGAAAGAAGAAGAAAGGAATAGCAGGTTTCAGTAACTCTCAGGATGACTGTATCATTGTTTCGGGCGGAAGCTCACATCTCAGTATGTTGTTGGACTCCCTCCCTAGATCTAGGGGAAGGGGAAGCGGTAAATCCACGGACTACACCCTCTATGATTAGGAGTTGTTTTTTTGTTTTATTTTTGGGGAATACGTTTGTAATCCCTGTGAGTGGGATCTTTGTTCCCACTCATTAAAATCTTTGTATCCTCTTTTTTTTATCAATGAATTTTGCCTTTTCAAATATATATATATATATATATATATATATATATATATACAACTCTCCCGTCTTTCAGGAATAGCGGCAAAATGGCGGACAAACTAATTTTACAAAAAAGTTCCAAGGCACTTGCGGTTCAGAGGTATTGGACATGAATAACAAGAGCTCGTAGGTGCGACATGATTGTCATTATCATGATAATTTTTAGATTTATATTATTATTGTTCATGGAATAGATCGTGTTTGTTGGGATTATTGGCACAAGATCTAGCCAAATTTTAATATAGAAAAAATCCAAGTTGACAGTAAATAACTCCAAGATATATATACTCCATATTGCCTCTCCAAGTCACCAAAGCACCAGGCATGTGCATCTTGTAGAAACTTGTTTGAAAATTAATTTAGATTAAATTATGCCAAGATAAATAATAGAACAAAAAATAAGGAAAAAGTACATTTTTCCTATGCCAACATTTTCAGTATGTACTTTATAATACACCAAAAAAAACTAAAAAAAGAATAAATACATTATCAGTATGTACTTAATGACATAAATACACACAAAAAAAACTAACTAAAAAAAGAACAAATACATTGTGCACTTATCACAATTTGTTGTGATGCCCTCGACAGGAATAAAAGCAATGATCTTCACATGGAAATATGTTGCTCAGTTTAATCTTTTCTTGATTCAAATCAACACAGCTGTTTGAGTATGCAAGTGAATCTGATGAAAATATCAGGCTTCAACTCACAAGGTTGTCTCAGCTTAATTACCATGAATTTGAGTTTCCGTGAAGTAAGCCAGATCATTTAATTTGAATTGAACCCATGCCTCAACAGGAAGAAAAAACACTAATTGCTGGTAACACAGTACCCAGGCCTCTCCGATACATAAAATAAATGGCAATTAAATACAACAAATATAATAGGACGTGAACTTGTGTAAACAACTCCAAAACGAGAGGCCAGGATTTTCATTTGAAAAGATCCTATGTGAGAGAAAAATAAAAATATTAATTACCTAAATAGTGAAAATTATTCTTTCCTTTGCCCTTAATTTATGTCATTAACTACCAATATCAGGAGAGATTTGAAAATTCCAATCCATCAACAAACATAAGAACTGTAAGCAATTCATAAATTGTTCCCTATCAAAGTAAAAACTATGGACTAAAAGTTTGGACTAATCATCGAGAATAGGAAACAAATTCTCACTTAATTTGTTCACATGAGACATAGGATGTGCTAGTTTGGCTTTTCCCAGAGATACTTTTGAAAGCTTTATCAAACCAAACCCAGCCACCTTCAATTTGTCACCAGCATCCATTAATATATGCCTGGCACCTTAGCAAAACGTCTACTAGTAAATGATAGTGCAAAAAAGCGCACTCAAAACAAGTTAGGATTTCATAATCTAGCCAACTTACTTGGGCTTTAAATTACAGTGTATAATAGGGTCTGGCTTGCATTCATGCAGATAATTCATGCCCCTATTACAAGAAAAGAAAAGAACCGAGTCAAATAAGTTTCAAATGTAAGAGCGTGCATGGATGAGATAATAAGAAGAAAAAAAAAATTCAATTTTTAAAGACACAATTTTGTAACTAGAAAATGATGCGACACAAATAAAAACCTCGAAAGTGCATCCCAAGGGCCGTGGAGGTTGGCTAGGTGAATCTGGATAGCTAGCAAGGTGGCGGCAACAAAGGCAAGGTGAGAAAACTGCAGAAACAGCTAGAGGGTTGGTTGTCCTGTGCAACGACAACAAGAAATTAGGGCAAAAAAGGCAAGAAAAGCAAATGTTTGCTGTTTCGGGACGGCGGCAGCAAGGACTGGTGGGTCGAAAGTGATGTTTAGCAAAGATACGGGCGGCTTGAGTCTTCTTAGTCTCTGTTTTTGTCAGTTTATTCGAGGAAGAAGACAACAAAGGAACTCCAAAAAATTTGTTTGGAGAAAAGTTTAAGATAAGTACCTTGTATTTTTTTTTTTAAGTTTTGTTTTATTGTGTAAACTTTGAATTTAATATAATTTATGTTTTGTTGTGTTATCCCCATAAATTCTAAGTAGTTTTCTTTTTTTTTTCTCCTTACAATAAGAAGTAATCATGTGTAGGATTAGACTTGTTTAAAATTTCTCTTATTTCATACTTGTAATGATTCATTACTTCGTTCTTCATTTACATCTGCAATCTAGTCAATTGGAATGTTAAAATTTATTGTGAATCCATAATTACCTGGGAGAGCTATGTGTTCATCAACTAGTAGAATCACATTAATTTCATGGGCGAGAAGGTAATTCATGGATTAGTGCAATTAGATAGGGAGATAAGTTTGATGGGCGTAGAATTGGTGTTTTTAGGGTGACATGCTAGATTCTTTTCAATTTGGTCTAGATTTTGGAACCTTAGGACCAATTAGTCTTATATAGAGGGCACAGTGAGTAATTTAGAAGTGAGAGACTGGAACCTACCCAGCATAACTTGAGAACATTTGGAACCTTACTTTAAATTAGTCAATGTTCTTTACGCACTCGGAAGAGAATAAAAAATATGATTGCTCCTATTTGACACAAAATTACATTTTAACGTTTAAACATTTGATTCCTACACTAATTATAATCTCATTGCAAGGGGAAAGAACTTTCACATAATTTGAACTCTTTTCCATAAAACTAGTTTAAAAATACTTTATTTTCTTTAAGCTTTGAATTTAATTTTTGTAGAAATTTAGTAACTTCTTTTTACACAAATTTGTCACCATATGTCCCAAATAATTGTTTGCAGTTTGAATTAAGTTTTTGAATTCAATAAAAAGAGTTTCACCTTCCCTGTCAGACCGATACTGGGGTTTTTAAAGAAAATCTTATATTACTTGAAACGATGAGTATACTTGCATAGTACCCCTAATCTGTAACATATTAATCAAATTTTAAATTATATAGCATATCATTTATACACACTAGCCGCTAAATATAAACCGGGCAAAATTTTTGACCATCTGTTGGAAAGTAAATAATTGCGTAATTGCGGGTCGAGTCAGGTAGCTGCCTCCACGACATGCCCGTTCTTGAGTCACTGCCCCCACGACACACTCCTCACCATTTTTATCATATGATTTTTTACATTTGCATTTATATGCATGTATGGATAGTCAGTCACGCTTGATAGACGAGTGACCCCATGTTGGTTGCGATGTTTTAACGAGAATTGTTTGTCAAGTCGATCCCAGCGAGCAATGCGAGTTAAGACATCGAGATTGACACGAGTATGACTATGTTAAGGATTCAAGGATCTAACTCGTGTCACATTGCAGTTATGGGTCAATATTTAATGACCCTTGTTTTAAAACTAATATATATTTCTCCTTATTACATCCATCATAATTTTAAAATTATACATGTAGGAAGCAAGGTCATACGTAAGGTCAACCCTTTTTCAAAATCCATCCTGGGTGACACCCTTTAGATCCCTTGGATTTTTCGAACGAGACCGGTATGACGACTCTGTCAAAGTCATACATACCCGAAGACTTACCCTAACTACTTAGATGTTAGTTAGAACACTTTCAGTTAGATGATGTGTTAGGTTAGGACGATGGTGCTATGTAGTATTTTCAACACCTCTAGCTATTGTTCTCTGCTGATTTTATTGTTCTAGTCAAACGTCACTTTTGTGTCTTTTTGATGTATTTGCATGTTTGATATGTGATAGTATGTTAAAGCATTCTTCTGCAAAGAGTTGTGTCTATATATATGCACAATAACAAGTACAATTAAGGGGAAGCGTATAATGATTTATACTAACCTTTGCTTGCAGATGCTATTTAGCTCTCCCGATAAAAAGGGCACGACTCAGATACGATTGCATGAGTTAAATCGTGTTAATAACCTTCTGAAGGTCGAGTCTTTATTTTATATTTCAAATGTATTTGATAGAGACCCTAGATTGAGTTTTATCAGAAATAAGATACAGGCACAAATTTCGAAGTGACGACACATTGAACCACGTGACAAGGACCAAGAGTGGCAACTTATATCCCATACTTTAAGTTTGAGTTCTATATTTTTTGTATAGATCTAGGACCAAAAATGTATATGCGGAGTCCGACCGCCTTTCCTGCGTTTCCTAGGATGTCGCCAACCCAGCGACATTGACCTTGTATAATTCAGTGTGTTTTACTTTATATTGCATGTTTATATGTTTTGATTGTTTTTTCTGTTTCTTTCAGGTTTATATGGGATGCTACGAATATTTTAATCTAGACTCATTAATGTCCTTAAAATTATAAATTTTCTAATCAAATTTCTAAAAATAAAACATTGAGATAAACAAAATTTTATGATTAAAATTGTCAGAATTTTCAAAAAACTGTTTTTATTTTACTGCATGGCCTTCGGACCAAATTTTAAACGGGTTGCATAGCATGACTCTCACCAAATCATAATTAATAGGACCTCCACATCAGGACTTATTAGCTAACTGCATCATATGCATGTCTTGAGGAGAATCCCCCGTGCTTCTTCAGCCTGACTGACCAAGCATAAATTTCTACTTAGATGGTTGTCTAGTGCTCTTAGATCGTTAGAAGACTCCCCGAACTAAACGGGGTGTAAGTCTTTTTGTTCGGAGCGTTTCCAACTTTGCAGCTGAGCCTCCATTTCTCCTCTTTCTAGCGGCATTCTCGCCACTTCAACAAGTATAAGTTTCACCTCTTATAGCTCCACCTAATAGTCATAGAACAGAGTTTTGCTCCTTTGACCTTAGGGCTACCGAGGTCCCCGTGGACTACGCAATTCAAGGGTTACAGTCCGAGGGTTTCTGGATGTATTGGGTCGAGTATATTCACGATCATGTAGACTTAGGATCTTAGTAACATGGGACATAGCTGTCTGTTGATAGCCTTGTGTGAGTTGTCATTTTAAATGTAAGTAAAACTCTTTGGATCAAAAATATTTTTGAGAAACCCCCAAGATGTAATTAACCAAGTGAAATAAGTTTCATTGGGAGCACTCTGGACCCCAGAACAGGCAAACACGCCTGAATCTCTAGTCGCGAATATTGATCCAAAATGCTTTTGCCCAATCATTTTTGGGCGGTCATACTTGACCTATTCTTACAAAGTTTATCGCAAGCAGACTCTACATGTTTTCTTTATTTTTTTTGTCGTCTTTATTGTATGTTTGTCTTTTCCAGTTCTTCTCTTCTCCTAATCGTTCCTATGATCCAGAAGAGAGACTTATTCGGAAAAAAAAATATACGACAATAGATAAACTGACAACTCAAAAATAAAAAGAAAAAAAAAACAAAAACATATAGGTGAAGAGAGGATAGAATGAATTATATGACCTAGCTTGCATAACATCAAAAATATACCTCATTTTTTTTACTTTTTAAAAGTGAAAGACATCTTTTCATGCATAGGTTTATAATATTAAAGTGTTATAAATATTAAAATCAAAGTATAGGTGTTATATGTATAAGAATTGTGATGTATATATGAAAATTTCACAAGTTGTTTTGGCAAATCTAGGACATCTAGTGATAAAATTTAAGCTTCGATCATGAAAAATCTGGAGGCTGCAGCTTCAATCTATGTGTCATGCATAGAAAATTACCTACGGGTCGTACTTAAATAGAGGATAGAATAAATTGTAGTGTTGAATTCAGATTGGTTCCTAAAAAAATAATTGTTCTAAAAATATGTTCTATTCATTAATGGTTTGATCTTATATAGTCTTAATACTCTTGCAAATAAATTCCTAAATTTCTTCTATATTTTCTATTTACAGATACAACCATAAACTAGATACAAATGTCAACATTCCCCTCAAAATGGGCAAAAAATATTCACTAAACTCATCTTGTCAAATAACCTAGACAAACTTAATGAGCTAAGTCCTTTGGTGAGGCAACCATCCACTTGCTCTTTAGTGGCTACATGACTTAGCTTCAGTAGTTCGTTATTCAGCTTTTCCTTGATGAAGTAACTATCAATCTCCACATGTGTGGTTATATTGTATTGCACCGGATTGTTGGCAATGCAGAATGTAGACTTGTTGTTGCACCACAATTTCACTTGAGCTCCTTGGTCCGCCTTGAGCTTTACCAACAAGGCTCTCAACCACATCATTTCGGCAACTCCTAAAGTCATAACCCTATACTCTGCCTTTATTGGTGACCTCGCTACTATCGATTGTTTCTTGCTCTTCCAAGGGACCAAGTTCCCCCTACAAATATGCAATATTCTAATGTGGACTACCTTTCATCAGAACAACTCGCTCAGTGAGAGTCACAATAGCTCCCAATTCCTACATGCCCATTTTTCTTAAAGATCGATCACTTCCCTGTGCACTCTTTAGTACCTTAAAACCCGATACATTGCGTCCATATGGCCCTTCCTTGGGTCATGCATGTAGCGGCTCACCATGCACACTACAAATGAGATGCAGCGACAAGTGTGACTCAAATAGATCATATGACCCACCAATCTTA